ATATTAGCTGATTTAATGTATAATTAATCTGATTTGAAACAAATATTCTTTACTTTAAGCTTAAAATATCGGAAAAATGCATTTGTTTAACACAGCGGTAGCTGTTTATTTAAGCTCTTGACATGTTTCACAGTTTGATGAGAAATTGATGTATAATCTAATGTTGTTTTTGGAGGCTTTAGCCTAAAAGATAATTGAATGTAACGTGAACGCCTTTTATACATAATTTTTAAGTACTCAGTAATTTTAAAAATGTAAGAAAATATTCTTAGTAATCTAATGTTTTATTGAATTTTAGATACTTTTTGGCTTCAAATTTACTATAGTTATCGCTTTTATTTTCTGATAATGTGTATCTGCAAAAATCCGTATTTTTATACTTACAAAAAAAATTAAATTATTTTAAAAATATTTGTTTGATGATTTGTATTAAACTTTTCCATTTATCCTTAGTAAATATAGCTTTACTTAATAATATCATATAGAGCGGGAAATAAATACAGAATTTTAAAAGATTTAAAACTTATTAAATTATTCTAATTAAAATATAAGAAAAATGAAAACAATTCTTGTAAAAATTAATTATTGATCGAAAACAATGTTTTTCTTAAGAAAATATTGACCTTGATATATTTTAATTTATAAAAGCAATTAAAAACATGTCTAATTATATAATGTTATAGTTTTATTGCATTTTTTTTATTTTACGATTCAGAACAGATTTTCGGTAAATGGTGTTTTTGTTTGACAAAAACAAACTGATGATTTATATTCTCCAAGATGTCCTGTTTTAAATAATATACATAGGAAGAGGGTAGAATTTTCTCGAAATTTCATAAAATTAAGTAAATTGTCTAACAGTTTTAAAAAAATATTTTTACCAATATTTTCTAAAAAAGAAAATTTCAAAATTTAATTCATTTGTGAATAGGTCCTGAAAATTTTATTAAGATCAGACTGTTATTTGTTTTGTGGAATAACTTCCAAAACCTATATGTTTTTTTGCCTAAAAAGGGGCGCTAAATTTCCTAATACTAATCATTGACCCACCTACTGACGCCGCCCCCAAAAAAAAAACATGCTTTTTTACTACAATTTCGAACATGGTAGAAAGGATTAAAAAATGAATAAAATAATCCCAAAATACTCTTTCCTTTTTATAATAACATAAACATATTGATAAAACTAAATAAAGTTTTTTCATTATAGAATTCTCATTTTGCGAATTTTTGGAAGTACTTAACGTATTCTCTTGTTGTTTATAACCTTTTGCTGTCATCATTTTTAACACTTCAGGATTTTCTCACTATTTCTTTCTTTCTCTCTGTCCTCCGTTCTTTCTTTTTCTTTCTCCCTTTCTTTCGTTCTTTCTCTCTCTTTTTTCCTTTCACTTCTTTCTTTATTTTTCATTCATTTATTTCTAATACTTCGACGTTTTCTTTCTTTTTATTATAATTTTCCTCATACATTTTTTAATTTAATAATAAATTTTTTATCTCCTCAACAAATTCCTCAAATACAGATTTTTTTTTTGTAAGACATTTGCTTGCATCGCGTCTATCCCAGAATCCCCAACATTTTGTTTTCCTATCAGAGATTTGCGCAAAGAGCACCACTAAAGCAAGGGCCTCTTTTGCCTGTCTAAAATAATCGAAAGGCCTGAAAAATAAACTAGTTAGCCATAGCTCCAGAAACATTGAGACATCCTTCGTCAGACAGCCTAACCTGTTCATAAACCTCATCCGATTCAAGATACCCTCCACGTCATCGCCAATTCACAGCAGAACAGATTAATCTACGAGGTCTTATGTGTTCGCCAACTGCATGAGAATATGGATGAGGTGTGTGGGGGGAAAAGTGTCCAAAAGAAGATAAGTAAATGAAAACAAGACAGACGAGAAATGCTTGAAAAAGGGAAAAGAAGGAAAGAAACAACGAAAAGCTCGAAGAGGAGAAAGAAAGATAAACAGGAAATGCTTGAAAAAGAAAGAAAGAAAGAACGATGAAAAGTAATTGAAAAGGGTAGTAAGGAGGAAAGAAACAACAAAATGCTGCAAGACTTGAAAGAAAGAAAGAAAGAAAGAAAGAAAGAACGAAAGAAAGAAAGTCAGTCAGCAATACTTGAAAAATCAAAAAAAAAGAATGAAAAACATGAAGTGCTTGCAAAAGAAAAAGGGAAAGAATGATGAGCAGAGCAAAGAAATAACGAAAATCTGGAAGAATTGAAAGAAAGAAAGAAAGAAATAAAAGAAAGAATTGAAGAAAGAAAGAAAATCAGGAAATGCTTGAAAAACAAAAAAACGGGTTGTGTTTGAAAAAGAAAGAAGGAAGGATTGAAAGAAAGACGAAAAATTCTTAAAAAAGGTAGAAAAAAAAATGAAAAAAAAACGAAAAATTAGACGAGTTGAAAGAAAGAAAGAAAATCAGGAAATCAAAAAGAAAAAAGGGAAAAAAGGAAGTGCTTGAAAAATAAAGACAAAAAGAAAGAAAATTGAAAAAGAAAGAAAGAAAAAAGAAGGAAAAACATGAAGTGCTTGAAAAAGAAGGAAATAAAAAAAGAAAGGAAGAAGGGATACCACGAAGTGCCTGAAAAAGAAAGAAAGAAAAGAAAGAAAGAATGGATACCACGAAGTGCTTGAAAAAGAAGGAAAGAAAAAAGAAGGGAAAACATGAAGTACCTGAAAAAGATAAAGAAGGTAAAATAACGACAACCTGTCGAAGTTCTAAGAACGAAAAAAAGAAGAAGAAAATGAAAACTAGAGGCAAATAAAAAGCCGCCAAAATGCAAAAGAAGAAGCGAGAAACTTCAAGGATTTAGTTATTGTTTTATTTCGGTATCTTGTTCCTTTTTAAAGACAACGTTCAGGTCGCTTTTACATTCTACGACCAAGAGGGATGCGGCATGGATAGGAAACTGAGAATTAGTTCCCTGTGTCCTTAGCAGTTGCTTAGACAAGGACGAAGACATCACATTGTTCACGGACACCAACTAGCAGAGGTAAATTTAGTCACATCCTTTCATCTCGTATATCAGAGAGCATTCGAAGTACAACGACGAGTGTTCTAATATCAAGTCTATTATTTTATTTAAAATACATGTTGCAACAAAAGGCGAACCAAAAATGATAGGGAAAAATAGAAAAGAATAAGAAGTTTGGCGTTGTTTTCTGCTCCTTTCGACTCTTGCCTTTTTCGGATGTGCTGGTAATGCAACGGACAGTGGCTCGCAATTAGAAATCGGAAAGTCGAGATCTAATTCCAGTTCGGGTTTGTTAGATTCATTTCCACGCAAATAACTTTTGAAAGGTATGAATCAAATTCTTCCCTCAGTTATGGGTTAAATAGCAGGACATTTAACTGTGGAAATCATTGTATTTCTAAAAAAATTAATACAATATTCACACGCCAAAAAACAAACGAAAAAAAAAAATTCTTACAATCCAAAATATTTTTCAGTTTTAAATAACCCATAAAGGGTTGATAAGCCGTAAAAAGCAAATCAGTAAAACTCACATTTTTCTGTCTTTTTATGTCATCTTGGCAAAGAAAGAAATAAAGAGGAGAAAGAAAGAGAAAACAGATTAAATATACAAGCGAGAAGAAGAGATAAAGAGAGAGAAAATGAAGAGAAAGCAAGACGATAGCAGGGTGATGATAAGAGGTGTGATTAGAGAGTAAAAACAGAAGAGAAGAATAGAGAAAAAGAATACAAATACGAAGAGACAGTGACAAAAATCGTCAAAACATAAGAAAGATAAAGAAAAGGAAGAAGAAAAAGAGAAAAATAGAAAGAAAAAAAAGAAAAAAAAGAGATGGAGAAAAAAGAAATAAATACGTAAGAAAAAATAGAGACGCAAGAAAGATGGCGGACAAAGAAGAAAAGCAAAGGAGACGAAACAGAAAAGAAAGAAAAAGAAAAAGGGAGGAAAAAAGAAGTAAAAAAATATGAATAGGGAAAACTAAAGAAAAAGCAGGTGAGAAAAAGAAGCAATGAAATAAAGAAAGGAAAAGATGGACATTTTTTTCTTTTTCTTGTCAACTCTCTTTGAGAGACGAAAAGAAGTAAAGATAGAGATATAGAGAGAGAAGAGAAAGTTGGGAAAAGACGGGTTCGGCTTAGTAAGAAGATACAGGGAAATGGAAGGAAAAATAAGGGAACAGGGAACAGGGTCTGAGTTATTAAAAACGAAAGGAAAGATAAAGTTAAAGGATAACACAAGATAAACATTGATTTATACACACACACACACACACACATACACACACACACACACACACACATATATATATATATAACAAATATAGTTTTAAAATGAAGGTATGATATATTTATGTGTGTTAAAGTGCTCAATATCAGAGATAGAGCGTGCATAAATATAAAAGTTGACACTAAGGTCAACACAAAGTGTCGACAGTTTGTTTCATGCTTGAACGCAACATACAGAATATATATATATATATATATATATATATATATATATATATATATATATATATAGAGAGAGAGAGAGAGAGAGAGAGAGAGGAGAAAAAGCGAAAAACAAGAAACTATAGTAATGAAAGTATGTATTTTCTCCTTTTTTTCTCTTTGGGGGAAAGCAAACAAAAATAAATGGAAATATGTAGAAAGTCAAAAAGAAAAACAAAAAGAAACGTAGATAGATAGATAGATAGATAGATAGATAGATAGATAGATAGATAGATAGATAGATAGATAGATCATCAATAGATAGATAGATAGAGAGATAGATAGATAGATAGATAGATAGATAGATAGATAGATAGATAGATAGAAGCAAGGATGATCACTGGCCGGGTCTTTATGAGATCTACCAGGCTAGCTGAATGTTTTGTTGCTTGGTTGGTACTGAGAAAGACAACACAGGTGTATTTGGGTATTAGATTTCGTCTGTGTAAGGGGGGTTGTCTTGTAATACAGAACACCTCCCAGACCTGTGGCGCCAAATGCTGCCCTTAATTTTATACACAAGCATACGCAGATGTCGACAAGCGAAAGTCCCACCCCAACACCGTCCAATCTCCGCCATCGACCCAAAAGCACTAGCCTATCCTTTTTCGTTTTTATCATTATTTTCATCCTCATCTTCTGCATCTTCTCTCTTGCCTTTTTCCTTTTTCCTTCCCCTGTGTTTCCTCCTCATCATTCTATTGCTTTCTCTGCTTTTCCTTCATTCTTCGGCTGTCCCACTTCATGTATCTTTTTTTTTCATTACTTTCTATATTCTTCATTCTTCTCATCCTTTTCCCTATTGTTTTTTTTTCTTGTTCATTTGCTTCTTTTACTCTCCCTCTTCTTATGCTTCCTTTCTTTCTCTTCGCTATTTCTCCTTCCGTCTCTTGCTTCTCCTCATCATTTTCCCTTTCCATCCTGTTTACATATCCTCTTTTCCCTTTCTTCTTCCTCGCTTTTATTAGTCATTTATTATTTCATTTTTATTCCATTGCTTCTCCTCTTCCCTTTCCTTTTCCGGTTTCTTCACTTCTTTCTTTCTCTCTCCTTTCTCTTACGTTTCATTTTCTCCTCTTAGTTATTCCAATCTCCATCTCTTGATGCTCTTCATCCTTTTCCTCTTCCGGTTTCCCTCCTCCTATCTAAGTCTCTTCATTTCCTTTGCTTCTTCCCCCTCCCATTAATTCGTCTATTTCTTTTCTATTGCAATACTTTTCCTCATACTTTTCATCCTATAGTATTTTCACTTTTCATCTCTCTCTGGTAAAGTTTTTTTCCGCTTTTTCATTTACTTTTCATGATTTTCACTAATCTTTTTGGTTTTTTCATTCATTTGCTTTTCTTTCTTCTTTTCATCTGCATGTTTTTTATTCCTTCATTCCCGTCTTACTTTTCCTTTCTCCCTTCTGTCATAAGACTTCTTTTTTTTCTTTTTTTTTTTCTACTCCTACTTACCCTTCTGGCTTCTTCTCCTCCTCCTTTTCCCTTCTGGCTTCTTCTCCTCCTCCTTTTCTTTCTACTCCTTCTGGCTTCTTCTTCGTCTTCTCCTCCTCCTCCTCCTCCTCCTTTTCCCTTCTGGCTTATTTTCCTCCTCCTCCTTTTCCCTCTTCTTTTTTCTTCTTTTTCTTCTTCTTCTTCTTCTTCTTCTTCTTCTGTTTTCTCCTTTTTCTCTTCCTGTCTTTCATCCTACTGCTTCTTTTCATTTGCTCCTTCACTCTCACTTACACTCTTTCTTTCTCTCTCTCTCTTTCTGTTATTGCTTGTTTCTCCACGTCCACACACCTTTCATGCCATTTTCATTTTCTTTCCCTTACATTTACTCTCTTTCCTTGCCTTATTTATTACTCTTTCTCATTCCATCTATTTCTTTACTTCTACTTTTTTTTCTCCTTCTTCCCAATTTCTGACTTTTTAATTTTTCATTTCCGTCTTTTTCTCTTTCTCTCTCTCTCTTCTCTCGCTTTCTCTCGCTCCCTTCTGATTCTCGCCATTTTTCTTTCTAATGCATTCTCTCGTACACACTTTCCTCTATTTTGTTTCTTTTTCTTCTTTTCTTTTATCTACTTCTTGATTCCCTTTCATTTCTGTCTCTCCTTCCCCCATCTTTTTTTTTAATTTAACACTTACCCATTTTTTCTTTCTTTCTTTCTTTCTTTCTTTCTTTCTTTCTTTCTTTCTTGTCGTTATCATGAGTTAAAAAAAAGAGTAAAAGATGCCTTTCATATCATGAACTATTTTACCCCAACGTCCCAATGATAATCGGGAAAAAATAGTGACGTGAACGTCCCACATTCTGGTAGCCTTATTCCTGAACTCTTTATACTTTTTAAGCTTTTCAATTACGTTGACATTGATGTTATGGTCACCAGGTATAGCCATATAGTCATGGAAGCGTTTTCTTGTTTCGTTTTTTTTTTTTTTTTTTTTTTAACGATGGTGATGTCTGGTTCGGTGGCATCAAGAATGCAGTCTTTTTGAATATTGAAACCCCATAAGATCATGACTTTGTTGTTTTCGATCACTTTGTCGAGTCTGTGGCAGTGCCGTTCCTGTTCGACTTCATACTTTCTACATAGGCTTCCTGTTCATAATTCCTACATAGGCATCAATGCCGGTGGGAGACAACTTTATTATGCACTTTCTGTGAAAGTATTCCACAAACGCTACTACTACTACTACTACTACTACTACTACCAATTATCATCATCATCATCATTATTATTATTATTATTTTATATCCTTCGATTTCTGGTGCATACTTGTTTCTTTCTGGGTTCTGGCCAGAGTCCTAAGATCAGAAATGGCATCATGACATTTTCCACTGAGCAATTTTGAAAAAAAAAACACACATATTTTACATAGATAAAACCCTTTGTAAGGTGTGGGCTGTACTTGTTAGAACATTATTTTGTATTTCTTTAAGGCATGGACAATCAGGAATCCTTTCAATGAGTCTATTGGAATCTTTTTCAATCAATTTGATGACTCCGACTACAACTAGAATTGTTGATGTCTTCATGTGCCATATTTCTGAGATTTCGTTTTCAAGGTCCTTGCATTTTGATAGCTTTTATGAACATTTTCAAAGATACATTGCAGTCTGTAGAGACTGCCATGTCAATAAGAAGGCACATTTTGTTTTGCGGTCTCTAATCACTACGTCTGAGCAATTAGCTTTGATTGTTCTGCCCGTGTGTAGTGTAAAGTCCCATAAAATTGTTACAGGTTCTATTTCTGTATATATGTCTGCGTGGTGTTCATACCAATTTCTTGCAGTTTCCTTTCCGTAAAAATCGCAGATTTTCCAGTGCAGATATTTGCCCAACTATGTGATGCCGATTTTCATATTCAATGGGTGTCAATACCGCGAAACCTGTCACTTGTTCTTTTAGATTTTTATTACAGAATCTGCATTTTGTCGCAAACAATTTTTCAGTATATGTGATTGGTAATTTCTAAGAAAGCATTGGTTCTGTGCAGCAAGAATAAAACCTTCGATTTCAGCCTTTAACCCTGCATTACCTAGCGATTGATGGCTACCGGGTTTGTCTACATCAGCTTGTTTGGTACGGGCAGAATATTCACCGTGAAGCGGTTTATCTTTCCATTGTTTATATATATATCATACTTATTATAAAACCCAGGTTGTGTGTGTGTCTGTTCGTTTATATATTGGATCGGATTTCCTACATTTTTCAACCGATTTCAACAAAACTTCACAGGACTACGTAAAATTACCTTGCGGTGGTTCTGACAGCGTCCAAAATTGGAAAAACGCAATTGTTTTTGCATGAAATCAATTTGAAAACACGATTAAGAGGCATCGCTGTCGCGAGAATGAAAGGGGGCCAACTCATATCGATTTATACTTATTATAAAATCCAGGTTGTTTGAGTGTGTGTGTCTGTGTTCGTTTATATATGGGATCGGATTTCCTACATATTTTAACCGATCTCAACAAAACTTCACTTTTTTTGGCAGGTTGTATTTCTTATTGTCTTGCATACTTTTTTCTTTATTTTTACATTCAGAATGCTTGAAAAATTCTATTTTCAAGGCAACTATTTATAATAAAATTCTATTCAATCGGTAGACTCATAACGATTGAAAACAATGTTTTTGTTTGAGTTTGGGTTTGACCAATTCGTAAAAAACAAAACAAGACAAAAAAAATAATTAAGACATGCGTGTCCGTCAACCTTAAACAATAATCTTTGTCAATTTTATTTTTCAGTCTTTATGATGGTCGATACTTGATCTATCTCTTTGTTACATCCCCGGCAACGCCGGGCTCTACTACTATATATATATATATATATATATATATATATATATATATATATATATATATATATTACTGCTGTATTTTTATAAACCTATAATATCTCTCCTTACGGATGAGGAGAAAACTAGAGGCAGCAGAAATTTGATTCTCCTTATGGATACTGAAGATTTCATGTACGGAACGAATAACCAACAAGGAAATCTAAAGAAAAGGACAACAGAAAGGTCACATACTCAGAATTAGGAAGAAGATAGCTGAAATTTTTTGGACGCATAATGAAGAATGATGGGTTGGAAAAGATAAACTTCATGGAGCATATTGAGAGCAATTGAACTAGGGGTAGGCAGCTTCACTGACGGGCTAGTGTGGATGTATGGCAGAACGAGGAGTGGGGGTCGGAAGCCTTAGCAGAGGGAGAAAAAACCGCTAACGACCACAAGGGATAGGAAGTCGTGGAGAGACACGATAGCCTGTGTTCTGAAGGAGCGGGGCGTATAGATGAAGAATATTACCACTTCTTAAGTTTACGGCTGTAGTTTCTGGGATACATAAAGAGGAAGGAGGGCTTGGAGAATCTGATACTCACGGGTCGAATACAGGGAAAGTGAGACAAATGAAAGCAGCGCGTGATTTACCTGGCGTGCCTGTGCAGGTGGATGACAGAACGGGGTTTGGGGGAGGAATCAGAGGGAAGGGACTTATTGAGAGCTGCAAGGGATGGAGAAAGGTGGAGATCCATGATCACCGACGTCCTGAAAGGCACATAAAAAGAAAAACGTTCGCTGACTAGCTCGTAAAAATAGGCAAAATTGAGTTGGGGGATTTATTTATTTATTTTTAGGTTAGCATTCATTAGATCTTTCTTAAGCCACAAGACTTGTTAGAATTGAAAAATATTATTTTTTTATCAATTTAGAAGTGCTGTGTTACCTGAAGAGGCACGGTGGAGTAATGAATAGCGGTTCGGATTGAGGAATCGGAGAGCCGAGTTCGAATTCCAGTCGAATCCATTACATTCACTTACGTGCTAATACCCTTGTACTGTTCTGTACTGATGCGGCATTCACCCTGGGCGGATTGAGCCGGCTTCTTCCTGTTATGAAAAGAAGATTCTTGGGATAAATTACAGAAGTAGGGAACCCAGGCCTACTCGGATAACGTTCTTGATTGCCGCGGGATTCCCACAGACGCAGAGACAGGAACGACCAGAAGCCGCCGGTTACCGATGCAGACGCTCCTTGGATTTTCACCAGAGCCCTTGTTAGCCGGCGTGTGTGTCAGACCTGTCCGCCTTGTGTGGCCCTACCAGGAACGAAGTTCCGGGCGGCATAGCTCTGACACTACCGTTTACACACCCCCACCGACTGTGAGGTAAGGGTTGGACTTTGAGAAAGGTGTGAATCATCTTATTCCCCAACCAGCTGTGAGTAAATAGCAGGACAGACCGAGTTCTATAGCCTTGGATGGCAACTGGTCTACCGCAGAAAGAAAAGGGAAGGCGGGAAAAATCTGCCCCGTCAGTCGTGTATCGAACGATACATTATCATCTAAGAGTGTATCACGCAGGCACATAACTGACTGACTGATGCACAAAAAGTTAATATTAATAATTATCTCAAATGAATAATAAATGAATCCATACTTATATTAATTCATATATTTTTTTAATATTGTATTAGAACGGATCACGGTGGAGCAATTGATAGCGGATCGGATTGAGGAGAACCGAGTTCGAATTCTTGTCGAATCCATTACATTCACTTACTTGGGAAATGTATGAATAATCTTCTCTCCACCCCAACCCCGCCATAAGCTATGGGTAAATAGCAGGATAGACCGAGTTCTATAGCTTTGGATGGCAACTAGTCTACTGCAGAAAGAAATGGCAACCTACTGCTGAAAAGATCTGCCTCGTCAGTCATGTATCGAAAGATACATGATCGCCAAAGCGTGTATCACGTATGGCCCATAATTGACTAACTGGCCTGTTTATAATACAAATACAGAGTCAAATCGATTGCTGACATTTTAAAGACTCTTATCTATACTTTTGTTTGAATTGCAGGGATGAGAAATTATCATTATTTACATTATTTATATTCGGACTATTGTCTTCTTCATTGTTGTTTTATCACCACGTTTTAGCCTTTATACTCTCCGACATTCCTCAGGGGCATATTGATCTGTGTATCTTACAAGGAATTCCAAAATTAACCTTTTATTTAATCCAAAGGGGGGACTGTTCTCGTTCCACTGCTCATGTTTTGGGACATCGACTAGTTTTTATTTTATTTAGCAGTGTTCAGTTATTGCTCGCCTGTTTCCACTGAATGCAAATACACAATGTCCGAACCAGGGATTGAACTCACAACCACTATGTCACCAAATTCACAAACCAACTCCTTTACCCACTAGGAAAATGAACAGTACTAAATAAAAATAAGAACTAGACGATGTCCCTAGACACGGGTAGTGGAATGAAAACAGTCTATCCCAGTAGATTAAATGAAAGTTATCCAGATGGATTTACATCTGAAGTAGGCCGGAGCCACAAAGACTGAAGCATTGTGATAAAAAGTCATGAAAAAAAAAAGATGAGGACAATCGCCCGAATATAAATAGAGTAAATAATTACCTATACTTTGTTTTTGTTTTTTAATTTACAAATTTACAAACTAGCTGTAAAGCCGCACTCCATGTCGACTCTTCAGCTAATTCCTGCGGAGGGCTAATTGAGCGTCCACCTCATAACTAAAGGTCCAGCTTAGAAAACAGAAATTATGATTTTGAAGAAATAACTTTGAATCCCTCAATTCATTCCATGGAACTT